GTGATGGGTAGGGTTAATAACCCCTGAATTGTTGCCTATCAAAGTTCACAGCTTGAGCTTCAGTTTTTTTCTTTTTTGAGGCCTTTTTAGTGGATGCTTCACTTCTTTTTAGCTTACCATTCTTGATGGCACTCTCAATAATTTCTCTTGAAATTACCATATCAAGAAAATTTTTGATTGCATTCTCTATCATCTTCTCATAATAAGGAGATTTCAAAGTGTTGACAAACAGCATTGTAGTCTCTTTTTTAGTCAAAAGAGGTTGTACCTGAGAAACTCCATCCCTCTATCTTTGGACGTATTCTTTAAAAGACTCATTTGCCTTTTTTTCTAGGTTTTGTAAAGACAAACAATCAGGAGCCAGATCGATAATATGTCAATATTGACTGATGAAGTCATGAGCCATATCGCTCTAAGAATGAATGCGAGTTCTATCTAGCTGGATATACTACCTGGCAGTAGAGCCTGTAAGGCTATCTTGGAAAACATGCATTAATAGTTTTTCATTATGGGCATGGGCTGCCATTTTTCGGCAATACATGGTGATATGAGGTTTTGGGCACTTCGTACCATCATATTTCTTAAATTTTGGTGCTTTAAACTTTGGTGGAATGAATACATCTGGGACTAAGCACAGCCCAATAGCATCAACAAAACCATAAAATCCAATCCCTTTTACGGCCCGTAATCTTTGTTTAAGCATACTAATCTTTGGATCTTCCTGAGACTCCACTACCTTTGCTTTTTCTTTTTTTTTCTTTCAAGTTATCTAGATCAGGAATCGATTCTACTGCCTTTTCAGTAAAGATAAGATTTACATAGCTTTGGTAATGCCTTAGATTAGAAGCTGATGGCATTCTAGGATATGTAGGATATTCGAAGTGTTGTGGTAGAACCTATTGTGTATACTGCGCTTGAGGTGGACCAAAACCTGGAAGATACAAAGGGTCAATCACTTCTTGTGATGGAGGGCCTTGTTGGCTTGTATTTTTTTCTATTCTTTTTCCCTTGTTCAGCTTATTGAGAGCATCTAGAATCTTACTCAACTCATTCTTAATCTTTTTCTATGCTTACTCTAGCTTTTCAAATCTGTGAGAATTTTTTACTCCATTTGTCTGGCTTTGGCTCTTGTGTTATATCGATGGATAGGGTTCTCGCTAGATGGAGCTATCCTTGAACCTTGAATACCATATTTTAGAATTAGCAAATTTATATGACTATCTCATGGTTACTTTGTTAAGTGTAATGAGTGAGAATATAATGAATGAAAATGCATGTATACAAAGAACATTTACCTTAAGACGGTATTTAACTAAAAGATTTCATTTATTCCAAAGAACTTTTATTTACATTAAGTTTATCATCCTAGAGTTATAACCATAAAATTGTTTGATCTGCTCATATTGGGCCTTGTTTTCTTCGATAAAGTTCAATAGATGCTGCCAATGTTCTCTTATTGGGGCCACCACGTGTTTTAATGCCTCTGCCTCTTTTACCATCTTTCTTGCCTTGCATACCCCTTTACAAATTTGGGTCGCTAGGTGCTTAATGTATTTCTGTCTTCCTAAGTTCTCTCTTTTACCATACCAGACTTGGTATGATAACTCTCTATGCTCTCTAACTAATGCAGCAATATGGTTTTCTTGTTCATTCAATTTTTGTTTTAACCTACTTATGTAGCTATTCAACATGTTATTCTCTGTCTGTGCTTGGGTACTTTTTTCTTCCAATTCAGCATATTCTTGTTTCAATCTTGTATTCTCTTCAGTCAGCTCAATAATTGTTATCTCTTTGGCTTTTTCTCTCTCACATAACCTCTTATGTTCTTGGTATAGCTCTATTAGGTCTTCAACAGCTGTATCTTGTTCTTTAGCAATCTTGCAAACTCTAGCTTCTTGTCTTTTAGCTCTATCTTTCCACTGATCTTTTTTTTCTCGAAGCTTCTGAATTTCTTGCTTTAACTTATCATTTTCAGACTCAAACTCTATTGTCTCAAGCTCTAATTCTGATAGTGTCTCTTCAAGCTTTCCTCCTATTGGCGGTTGGAAGCTTTCATAAGTGAATACCATTTCCTGTCTTCGTTTTGCTCTCCAAGGCAAATACCCTAAAGTGACTTTATCAGTAACAGTCCAGGACTCACTCTTCAAGGGTTTTTCCATGCTTTAATCATTTCATTCATCCTCTAAAATGCTTTTGGCTTGCTGTAAGAGAAATCTAACTGATGAAGCCCATGCATCATAAAAATGAACTGTTCTATCCCAAACTGCCTTCTCACTAGGAGTAGTGTATAATTTGTCGCTCCCCATGAACCCAAAAGTGGGACCACTATATTATCCCTACACTAATACAATATAGGTTCACGATTTATCCACAGGACCAACCGTCTTACTTCGGCACTGGTCAATTTTTGTAGGAAAACTATCCATTTCTTTTCAGACTTTTATTTTGACCACCCACTTTCACAGAATTCCTTGGTCGGAGCTCGATTGTGGACATGAAGTTTCGAGAAAGAACCTTTTCTCCATTCGAAGTGACTTTTCATCTATAAGTATAATAACTGTATACAGTCTATAAAACACCCTCCATTATGATGATAGTAACTCAAAGATCTGATAGTCTCTGCTAATATTACCGTTAAAGGGTTACAAGTGTTGATCACACTCTCAAAGAAGTCAACCAACGCTATTTAAATGTAACCCAAAACCTTTGGAAAGATCACTATTCTGTATATAGCTAAGGCAAATACATCTAACCCCTGTTCTTCGTTGGCATGTTGCAATAGAAACTCATGAAAGAACTTCCATGGTAGGCAAACCTATTCTTGTTTCTTCTTTGTATGAGAATCCACAACTTCTTTGTCTATCCCCATGAGTTGAGCTAAACCTTTATGAAATCCTAACTTGTGTTTTTGACATATATCTTATCAAAAGCCTTGAGGTGCAAACCCAACAAAGTCAAATATTCTTCGATGGTTGGTTTCATATCAACTTCATTGAAGATGAAACACTTGTATGTAGGATCCCAAAATTACGCTGCAGCTCTGATTAGTTGATCGTCGATAACTACTGCGAGAAAGTTGTGTTATATGCCTGTGTCTCTGGCAAAACTGCTCTTGTCTTGACGGACTCATCTTCTTCCATATATCAACCAAATCCTCTAGATTATTTTGTTTGAGGAGGATAGATGTTTCTTGAGATAAGATAGAATCATATCCGATTGGTAAACAATCCTCCATCTTCAGTTGAATCTTTTTTGACTGGACTCTTACTTCGTTGGGTGACTCGCAAGGAGCTAATATAGATAAAGAACAAACTAGTCATTTTGTAAAGTCCATGAAAAATTTTTGTTGAAGACCATCTTTTAAGAAAATGTTTTTTATGCAACTTTATGATATGAGCATGAACCAATGTAAAAGAATGAGAGAAAGGGTTAGTATGCCCAGAAAAAAAGAATAAATAAATAACTAAGTAAATTAAAACATCACACAGAATAAGAGGAATGAACCCTATGCTTTTGGTTAATTCTAAAAGGGAAGGATGATGGCTCTATCTATAGGTTAGGCACTCTTAAGGTTCACTATATGTGGTTTGAGGTTAAAGTCTAAAGGTTCCCAAATTGCTCCTTACATCATTGTCTATCACGGACTAGTAAGGCACCTTAATCCTCACCCATTACGGGCTACAAGTAAAAAAGGTTCAATTTGAGTGGGAGTATTTCGCTAGCCACTACGGAGGCATTAAACCTCATGAAAGCAATAGGTACTTTACTCCCTCCTAGAGGGACGAAGCTCGGGTATAGAGCTCATGTTATGCATATGCATATGAATGACATAATTAATAAAGTAAATAAACATGAATGAATAAAAATATATATACAAAAAAGGTTCAATTTTATTAGGCTTTTGGATAACACAAATTTATTTGCTGGCCTGACTCTCAGCTATCCCCAGTGGAGTCGCCAAGCTGTCATAACATCTAGATCCGGGGATCTATCGTTAGACATTAACTTAAGGAGTCGCCACCAATCTTTTTTATCTAGGTGCGATTGGCCACCTAAGGAATCTATCCTTTTAAAGAACACCTAAGCTTAAGGGTCCTTAAAAGAATAGGTTTAAGTCTACTAACTAGAACAAGGTTCGGGAGTTCGGTTACGTATGAGAAAAGTTATAGCACCCTCACAACGCCCATCAAAAGATGGTACCAACTTAATTTTGTATTATCCAATAAGCCTTAAAAATTTATCAAGTAATTAATTATTGGAAATTATTCTCAATTGACTCTAATACTTTTAGCAGAAAATTAAAAAAATTTCCTCACCTCAGGAGTATGCAAAGAAACTACTGTTTCAGTTGCAGAGGCTCCATCATCGGATTATTTAACATTAAAAAAAATTCAAAAAGAAAAAAAATAAAATGAAAAAAATAATAATAATGATTCAGCTTTAGATATAAATCCTTCTCTCCTTAAAATCTCATTGTTTTTGTATAAGAAAAATTGATACTTTCAACTTTTCCTCAAAAACCTTTTTTAGAAAATTATTTTCAAAGAAAATTGATATTTTCAACTTTTCCTCGAAAATATTTTTTTGAAGACTTATTTTCAAGGAAAATTGATTTTTCAACTTTTCCTCAAAAATATTTTTTTAGAGAACTTATTTCCAAGGAAAATTGATACTTTCAACGGAAAATTGATACTTTCAACTTTTCCTCAAAAATACTTTTTAGAAAACTTATTTTCAAGAAAAATTGATACTTTCAACTGTTCCTCAAAAATATTTTTTCTGAAGACTTATTTTCAAGAAAAATTGATACTTTCAACTTTTCCTCAAAAATATTTTTTTTGAAGACTTATTTAAAGAAAATCAAAAAATAAAATAAGATAAAAGTAAAAATAAAGATAAAAATAAAATAAAATAAAATAAGAAATACTAAATAATTATAATCTAATCAATAAATAATAATAATAATAATAAATAAATAAATATATAAAAAAACCTTTTGAATGACTCGACTCGGCTCCAAGGGTCGGCTAGCATTTGGGTCACACGTGGGTCAAACACAGGTTGGCACTCAGGTCGGGTCACCCGATTTCAAAACACGTGGATCTTTTGGGAATAGTAACACCAAAACGACGTCATTTTCAACAAGTATAAAAGGCTCTAACCTCTGTTTTTCAGCAGATCGCTTCTTTCCCTCTCTCTCTTCTCCTCTTTTTCTCTCTTTCTCTCTCTAAACAATCCTAGATTCCGATTGAATTTCTATCGAAATATGGAATAAGTCACCAGAATCTTCAAATCTGGTCAGAAAACTCGTCGAAAAATTCAAAGTTCGCCAAAAAATTTTGTCGGATTATGGAAAATTTCCAAAACGTTTCCAAAAAAAAAAATGCCAAAAAATTTGAAAAAAATTTCCCACCAATTCCTAAAGCAATTCTAACGCACCAAAATCCTTTTTTTAGCTTTTGTTTCCTTTCTGTGTGTGTTTTCTGTTCATTTTCTGTGGATCTATTTATAGGGATTGATTAGAAGAGTTTCTGATCAATCCCAATTCCCTTTTGAATTTGGATTCAATCCTTGAATCCAATCTGAACTTTGATTGAATCCCAAATTCACGGTAGAATTCTAAATTTTTATCCTAATCCCAACCGAATAAGAAGAAAAAGAAAAAAAAAGAAAAAAATATATTAATAGATAACTAAAAGAAAATAATTAGATAAATAATAATAATAATAATAGATAAATTATAATAAAAAACATATATATATTAATAGATAAATAATAAAAGAAAATGTTAATAGATAAAAATAAATATATTAGTAGATAAATAATAAATATATTTAAAAAAATAAAAAAAATAATAAATAATAATAATAATAATAATAATAATAATAATAATAATAAAAAGAAAAAATGTGCCTATTTTACCCATTTGGACTAGACCCAATTGATCCAGGCCTAGACCAAATTGGGTGTCTACACCTTAAGAAACAATAAGGGCTTATGTGGTAATGCCATAGGATTAGTGCCTTATGTTCCTATTCTAGCAACAGAAAGGGTCATAGAAAAAGAACCAGGTTCATCATTTTAATTGTGATGTCACTCTTTGGTATTTTGCTTTTGCTATTTATCATGGCTGGAAGTTTCCTTATTCTTTGCCAAAAGAATCGCACCAGAAATCTGAGTCAGGGGAGGCACAACTTGGAGATATTTTCACAGTATGGGGATATAATGGAAGAATACTCTATGAGAACATTATTGAAGTCACTGAAGATTTCAACTCCAATTATTGTATTGGTTCAGGAGGAGATGGAAATGTTTATAAAGCTGTGCTACCCATTGGTCAGGTGGTTGCTGTGAACAAACTTCACCAATCTGAAGATAGCATGATTTCCAACAACTTGAAAGTCTTTGAAAGCGAGATTCATGCTTTATCAGAAATAAGGCATCGTAACATTGTAAAGTTGTATGGCTTTTTCTCATATCCAAAGAATTCATTTTTGGTTTATGAGTTTGTAGAAAGAGGAAGTTTGAAAATGGTGTTAAGCAACAAGGACGAGGCAATGGAATTGGATTGGAAGAAGAGGCTAAATGTTGTAAAAGGAGCAGCCAATGCCTTATCTTATATGCATCACGAGCATTCATCATCTATAATTCATCGAGACATTTCCAGCAATAATGTTTTCTTAGATTTGGACTATGAGGCTGATGTCTCAGATGTTGGCACAGCAAAGCTTTAAATCCTGACTCCTCAAATTGGACCACATTTGCGGGCCCTTTTAGATACATTGCTCCAGGTATCATTTCTTTACTACTATATGTTAATTTTGAAATATTGACAAGTGGTTTAATTCTTAATTTGAAGTAAGTTTACATAATATAATATATTTCAACATATAAAAGTCTTAATAATAAAAATTTAATACTCATTTATTTGTAGTAATAATATTTTCGTTTTATCAAAGATTAATATTTTTGAATCCGGATAACTTAGTTGATTAATGTGACTATTTTTAAGTGGTGGCAACAGTATCTACTATCCCTTATCTTATCTTTAGGTTGTGGCTTCTTTTGTAAAAATAATAATATTTCTATTCAAAACTCTTTGAGTTTCATGTAAATCGTTAATTTTGGTTGAAATTGAAAAAGAATGCACGCTATAGTAGTTTTTTTTCTCTCTGTCTCTTTCTTTTTCTAACCATAAAACTTAGGATATTGGATACTAACAGTATGTGAATATTATAATATTCTAACCTTATACTTCTTAATTATTTCTAGCATGTTTTTTGTGCCTAAATAAATTATAATTATTAGATTGAGGTTTTTCACGCAGAGTTAGCCTATACAATGAAAATAGAAGAGAGATGTGATGTTTACAAGTTTAAGGTGCTAAGAATGGAAATACTTATGATTAGGCATCCTGGTGATTTGATTTCATTTTTGTCATCATCATTGACATCAACACCAACATCAATGCCAAATGACAACCAACAAATTTTACTTAAAGATGTGATAAACCAGCATCTCTCACCACCAGTAAAGCAAGTTGCAAAGGATATTGTCTCTACTACAAAGATAACATTTGCATGCTTAAATGGCAATCCTCAACTTCGACCAACTATGCAGTAGGTTGCGCATGCCCTTGGTCGTCAATCGCTTCCATTGACTGGGAGAACTGTGGGATCATGGGTTTGCAGTGGCTAATATTAAGGTGCTAGTAATTTGAATAATAATTTTAGGCACATGTATTTGTATTTGCTTTCAATCTATTTCTTTTTCTCTGCTTTGTATTGAGAATGTTTAAGTACTCAAATAATAAAGCTTTTGTAGTGAATTAGCAGTGATATAGAACAGTTGTGCTTAAGCACTCAATTTGTATTTCAGGATTTCCTATTTCTAAAATATAACTAATGACTATACGTAAAATTTTGACTTTTAGTATCAATTGTAATATTCTACTATAGTACGGATTTGCTACAATACTTTCGAAAGCGAATGCTACAACAATTCTAATATCACTTATTTATTTATTTGAACAAACAAAAAATACAAGTGGTGAGTATACCAAATTACAATAAATACAATTTCACACAATAATCTTTTGATTTTATTATTTACTCATAATTTATTCTTATACACACTCGTATATATTATTTCTCACAATTTCATCTTTCTAACTTGTCTTCATTCCTTGCCTTTTAAATCATTCAAAATTTAATTGTAATTGTATTAAGTACTTCACACCAAAAAAAAATTGTATTAAGTACACTTGAAATGGATTTGAGTGATGATTTAAGTATATACCTTTAACTTGCCCATTTTTTTTTACTAATATGCTAAAAAATTGTTGAACTTTTCTCAAATTTGAAATAAACTTTTATCTTTATTTTTTTTATCCAATTGAAAGCATAAAACGTTATTCTTATTTAATTAAATCTTATTTTGCATAAAAATCAGTAAAATTGTTATTTTTACCACATCAATAGTAATAATTATCTTTATTAAATCAATGTTTGCATTTCAAAATATAAAAATTTAAGGTAAAAATTATTTTTGTTAAATCAATATCCAATTGCAAAATATAAAAATTTAAGTTGAATTGTCGTTTTTGTGGTATATATATGTAACAAATGGCTAATATAGTAGGCCTCATTAGCATTTAAAGAGCTTTTTTATTTTCAAATATGTATGCTATGTGTCATAACGGTTTTGGGATCGTTAGACGTAAATGAGTTTTAAAATCGAAGTAAATGAGGGGAGTCGCCACCAATCTTTGTTAGGGTGTGATTGGCCACCCAAAAGTTTATCCTTTTAATAAAACTATAAAAATGGGTTTAAAGTTTATCAAAAAGATAAATTTCGATCTACGAAAAATCAGGTTAAGTTTGAGAGTGGGTTACGTGTGGGGAATGATTAGCACCCCCACAAAGCCTATAAATTGGTACCATTTAATTACGTGCTATTTCTTATGTTGGATAAAAATAGTTTTAATTTGAAATTTAACACTAATTCCCTTCATTTGAAAAAATAAAATTTTGCTAAAATTTTTATTTAGAAATATTGAGAAAATCTTTAAGTGAAAGAATTATCTTAAAATTCTCCAACATCTAGGCTAAATTTAAAATAACTCTTTTCGCTTAAAATTTAACACAATAATCCTTAAAATGAAATAATAATCTTTATAGAAAATAATTGTTAGTGACTCTTCAACATCTAGGCAGAGTACCAAGAATTATTTCTTTCGGAATGTTATTTTTATTTTGTTTTATAATATCACAAAATTCTTTTTTTAAGTATTATTCTTTTTTATTATAAAATATTTTATCATCAAACAATGAATTAAAAATTAAAGACAAAATAGTGTAAATAACTACTGATAATAACATGCTAACGTATGTATGCCAATGAATATTATGTAAAATGAAATGCCATTTAAAAGTTGGATTCTTAAGTATAATGAGACCACCTCGACTCTCCAACATCTAGGCAAGAAAAATAATAATAATTATTCTATTATTATTATTATTATCTTAAGCATTTTAATGTATATTTTTAATTATTATCCTATATTGTTTTCATTTTATTATTATTAAAAACAATTAGATATTTATCCTAATAAAATTAAACATTTATCATGCATAAATATATAAAAAAATACTTAAAATAACAAAAATAATAATATATAAAAAATTAGAAAATTAAAAAAAAATTTTGTTACCTGAACCGGACTGGTCAACGATCTGGTCAACGGCAGTTCGGTTGGACCGAAAAGGGGTTGGTTCGACGTGCGATTCAGTTGAGCATGTTGAGGAACAGTTCGGACCAATCTAGAAAGTGGTTCCGTCCGGCTCAATTGGATCGGTTAGTAGCTATGGAAAAGAACGGGTCAATGGGTCGGATTGTGCGGATCCCGGGTTAGATCCGGGTCAACGCGCGGATCCTCTATGCTTGAAATGGAGTCGTTTTGGTCATATGCTCAAAACGACGTCGTTTTGCCCTTATGCTTTCTATAAAAATCAGATTTTTTTTTCTCAGCTTACTTTTCTGTTTCAGAGGAAAAAAAAGGGAAGAGAGGGCTCTGGGAAAGGTCCAGCATTCTCACCATCCGACCGTTGAAGCATCGCGTCGACCGCCTCCTGGTCCACCATCGGCGGTGGTTGTCGGTGGTCGAAAACTTCAAAAGTGACCAGAAGGTTCCGTTCAACCTCCTGAGCTCAGATCTGGTGCTCCTTTTGTCGAAAACGGCCTTGATTCGTGTAGATCGAGTTTTAAATTTTTCAATATTCTTTTCTTTCTCTTTTTTTTTATTTGAAAACTAACTGATACCCTTCTCTCTTGGTGCAGGTGACTCGGCACTGGGTTCCTCCTTGCGGGGAGGACTGTGTTTTGTTTTTTTTTTTGTATTTTCATAGATTTGGGTATTTCAGGGGGGGTTCGCATTTTTTTTTCTTTTTCGTGTCTGAGAGGTTTTTGATAGGGGTGGAATGTGCATATTTCTGGTGTTGTCGAGTGAGGGGTGTCCGAGCGTTTTAGAGGAGGGAGATCAAGTATTTTATAAGGTTAGAAACGGTAGTTGCATGTGCTGATAGAGTGAAGGGACTAGACGAAGGGCTGGTATGATGGCTGGGGTAGTGGCGGGCATTGGTGGCCAGCAGTACCGTGCACGGCACCCGTTGGCACTAGCCTTTTCCAGTTTGTTTCTTCTTCTGTTTGGATTTTTTTGTTTGTCTTCTTTCTTTTTTTAAAATTTTTTTTTTTAATTTTTTGATTTAAAATTTTAATTTTTTTAGTTAATTAACTTTTTTAGATTATAAAAAGTGTAGATCCGGACAAAATCTGGTGTCTACACTATGTAGATGTTGGCTTCATAGAAAGAACTATGACATATTTGTTGATTCGCAAGACACATTTTTTTTTTTTTTTTTGCAATTTTCATCTAAAAAAGAGCTTAATGGAACAAAACTATACTTTAAAGATTTAATTAGACAAAATAATTTTTTAAGGACTTAATTGGATATAATAGAAGGATGGAAGCTTATATGAAAAATTCAAGACTTATCATCACAAAATATTTTTCACTTTTAATATTTAATTATAGCCGGGGTTTATCGTAATTAAATTTAACCCAAAACTTTCAATAATAATATATAGCCAATAAAATACAAAACATATGTATTAACAAAAAAAACAAAACATTTTTTACCAAACTAAAATTTTGAGTTGAATTTAGTCCAACATGGTTTCAAATTTATCCTAAACACATTTTGACAATCATTCTGTGAGACTAAACCATTAAATTTCAATAAATTTCTATAACTATTTTATTTCTTTTTCTCTGTTTTTCCTCTTTTTTAATAATATGGTAAAGATAATTCTTGTTTGTTTATTTAGAGAAACGATTGACTTTGAACAAAATTAATTATAAAAAATTGGCTAATTTCACCTATAATTTTTATTGCAATTTTGTAATTAGCCACTCACAACAAAAATTTATGCATTACTTAAAAGTGTGGGCTCTACATAATTTTGTTATGAACGTTATACAATGCTGAATTTAATTAATTATTATACTACAGTAATTGTAGATTAAATTCTCTCACAAAAATTATACATATTTTAGGATTACTATGGTAATTTTTAATTTTATAAATTATTTTTAAAGTTGATTTATATTCATTTAATATTTGAATTATTATTTTATACAAAAACACAAGTAGTGGGTATTTTAAAAACTCATTAT